ACCTAGTATGAGTCTGAAGGAGTCTGATATGTTACTGTTCTTTACTGTGATGAGTTTCCAATTCCTGGCACAGCAGGTACCTATAACTCTCCAGAGTCTCTTATTTCTTCCATTAGAATCTTATTATTTTCAAACACCAATCCTGTATATGTTTTATTAGATATTAGGCTGAGTATTTCTTTGTTTTTCTTTTGAATGAATTGAAATGATACTTTAACTTCAATGTTCACATAGTCAATATAAAAAATAGTATTTTACATTTTGGCCTTTTATTCTGAGACTTTGTAAGCAAATTTGAGTCCTAGGTTTGTTTTTAAAAAATCGACAGTATATTTTTCACTGAATTTTTTATGCCTGTAATTCTGGCAAGCAGGATGCTGAGGCAGGGTGGTCATTAGCTTTCAGCCTATCAAGAACACCAAATATATATATGAATATCTCTATCTCTATCTCTCTATCTATCTATCTATCTATCTATCTATCTATCTATCTATCTATCTAACTAACTATCTATCTATCTATCTATCTATCTATCTATCTATCTATCTATCTAACTATCTATCTATCTATCTATCTATCTATCTATCTATCTATCTATCTATCTATCTATCTATCTTCAGAGCAGTTTTACTTCATCCTGGCTAAGTTGTTTGTTTTTATCTCTTTCTTTCTTGTCTATTGCATGAGCCAGTACTTCCAGCACAGTATTGATTGAGTGTGGACAGGATGGATAACCATGTCTGCTTCCCAGTTTTAGTGAGACCCATGTAGTCTTTCCTCACTGTATGATATACAGGGTCTGGTAGTTGCTTTTTTATCAAACTAATTCCTTTAATATTCCTATTTTTCTGAGCATTTTTTTGTCAAAAGTGAGCATTGGATTTCATTACATTTTTTCTTGCCTTAACTGATAAGATCAGGGTTATGGTGTTTGTTTGTTTGTTTGTTTGTTTTTACTCACAAATACAGTAAATTATAGTAATCAATGTGATTTTCAAATTTTGGACTGTCCTCATATCCTTAAAGTAACTCCTGCTTTAGGGATACAGAGCAGCAGTTAAGAGCATACTGTTCTTACAGAGGACCCAAGTTCAGTTCCCAGCACTCATGACAGGTAGATTATGACTCACAGATGCCTGTCACTCCAGTTCCAGGGGACTCAATGCCCTCCTCTGGTCTCCAAGAACACCTGCGTTCCTGTGCACATACCACAGACACACATGCAGGCACAGACAGACAGACACACACACATAAATAAAAAATAAAAACAAATACATTTTTAACAATAATTTCTACTTGACTAAGTATTTGTGTCTGGGTTGTTAGCCTGCAGTTTTCTGTTTAGCTTCTCTGATTTGGGTTTCTAGATACACTAGTCTCATAAAATGAATTAGGATCACTCTTCATGTGAGCGTACCAAGTAACTTTTAGTTTATCTCTAAATATTTGAACGAATTCGTTTTTATTATTTAATTTTACTTTTTTACATATTCACTTTACAACCCATTCACTGCCCCCTCCTGGTCTCTGGTCACCCCCTTCCACAATTCTTCCCCCATCCTTCCCCTCTCTTCCCCTCTGAGAGGGTGGGGGCCCCCTGGGAATCCATTCACCCTGGCACTTTAAGTTTCTATGAGGCTAGGCACTTCCTCTCCCACTGAGGCCAGACAAAGCAGCCCAGCTAAAAGAACATATCCCACATACAGGCAACAGCTTTTGGGATAGCCCCCATTTCGGTTATTTGGGACCCACAGGAAGTCAAGCTGCACATCTGCTATGTATGTGCAGGGAGGCCTAGGTCCAGCCCATGTATGCTTTTGTTTTGTGTGAACGAATTCATTAATGAGACCATCTGGGCCAGAAATGTTCATTTTTTAAAGAGAACTTTCTCTAATTAAAAATTCAATTTCCTTAGTAGATTTGGGGCATCAAGTATGAAATATGTCTATGCTGTATCAGTTTGGTTTACATGATATGTCCACATCCTACGACAACTTTAACAAACTACCACACTGAGGACAATTTGAGAGCAACAGAAATGTATCTGCAGAAATGCACTTCTGAAGACTGGAAGTCCAAAACAACGATGTTAACAGGGCCTTGTTCCCTGTGACACCCTGGAGACATGGAGTAGGCACCTTCCAGTTGATTGCTCAACTCTTTGTTTGAGTGGCTGTGTGACTTCACCTCCACCTTCTTTGTTATTTATTCTCTGGTGTCTGCTAAGATCACGGCCATTCTACACCTATGCATAAATTCCCCTGTCTGTGAAGACATCAGTCATATTGCATTCAGCATCATTTGAATACCTCAACTTACCTGCAAGATCTGGGACATATCCCTATTTCACTGCTGATTGGTAATTCGTGCCTTCTGAATTTTCTGTCAGCCTTGCTAAGAGCGTATCAAATTTATTGAACTTTTCAAAAAGGCAACTCTTTATTTTATACATTGTCATCATCATCATCACTACCACCACCACCACCATCATCAACATCATCATCATCATCAAACTTCATTGCTTTCTGACCTTGGTTATTTGTATGCTGCCTTGTGCATATGTGTGTGTACATATGCGCATGCTTCAGAGAGCAAGTGTGTCTGGAGATCATTCAATGACTTTAGGATTTATCTGTCTCTTGCCACCACTGACAATAAAAGCATTCTCCAGTATGCTGTTTTTCACATGGATTCTCAGTATCAACGTCAGTCCGGCACTATTGCTATTGCAAGTCAAGCACTTTCTTTCCCGAGCCGCTCCTCCCCAGACCTATGGCCTTCTTGGCTTGACATTATTTTGCACTGCTTTTCTCTCGACATCCTTGAGAACGAAGCTTACATCACTGATTGGTATTTCTCTTATATATTCATCTGATGCAAAGTAACTTCCAACCAGGCCTGTTTAATAGTTTCTCAAAAAATGATATACACATTGAATTTAAAATACTTTTTAAAGATAAGTCTGTAGAATGACACACCTGCCAATATTTCTTCTGTTCTTGATTTTGCTTCTTTTTTTTTCTATTGTGTTATTTCATCTATTTTAAATTTGCTTACTGAGTTTGGCTTTGTGCCACAGGATAATGTCCCAAATCAGAGGATACTCAAGTTCCCACAAGAAACAGCGAAGCGTAGACCACGGACATGCCAACCTGACCTGTCTTTTCAAATCATTTTACCAGAAGTTCGTGTCCCCACAGATGTGGAAATCATTGATACGAGAGACCAGCTCCACTTTCATAATACCCATTTATAAAAATGTGAAGGTTTGTTTTAACATCTGTCATCTCAGTTCAGAGTTCCTACTAATTGCTTTGTGTTATTTTCCCCCTTTGGTTTGAAACCTTCCTGGTTATTAGCCTGATGTATAACTTCCTCACAAACGTGATGGCTTAGGGTAATATGTCTGAAGACTCAGTCTTCCTTCGTTGTCTGTTTTAGCTAGCTTCTTGCAGGTCAAAGCAGGCAAGGCAATGCTGCTCTACTGCTACCAGTGCATTAGCCTGTTAGGCTCCCAGATTACTTCTGAAGGGATAGCGGACCACACCTCAGCCTTGCTAGGTAGGAATCACAGGCTCCTTTCTGGTCTGATATCTCTGTGGTTATGTCTCCAGAGATCTGCACCAAGGCTGTTACATGACCTCAGTACTTCTGAGCTATAGGCCTCCTCTAAATTGCCACCAAGGTTCTCTCTGGGCTACCAGAGCTAAAAATCTCGGCACCTTCTCTGCTCTCATAAGATCTATCTGTGTGGTGTTGTGGCTGGTTAGAACCCTCTATTGCTGCTCTCTTGTGGAGATGTGAATTTCACAGGTGCTGTGCTGAGAGCAGACAAGAGGAAGGGCATGCTGCTGCTTCTTAAAAGAGATGAAAGTCCTGATCCACGGTGAGTCTTCCCTGTACTACCAGGCCCCGAGAATAACGTGCATCCTTCCAGCTCAGGACACTGGAATACGGACTTCCCCTTTAGTATTTGGTGATACAATTCAGGGTGGGATTTTCCTCCTCTAACATTCTACCATAGTGAACAGGTATCTGTATAGTTTCTGCCTGGCTAGGATGTCTCTGTCGTTTGGCTAGAAACCCCAACCACATTCCTTGAGTGTCCAGGCCCCTAGTTGCGTTCCTTGCTTCTGCCAGACCTTTTGCCGTATACAATTCCTAATATGGATAGTCCTAGTTAGAATTGCAAGAGGCAAAAGGGGAAATTTCATTTATTCCATCTTCCCATTCCTGGAAGCCTCAGGGTATTCATTTTTAGTGTGCTTTTCAATTAGAAAAGAAAGGGCAGAATGTTCCACGCCCTCTTCTTAACAGACAGTTGCTACCACTGGTGTCTTGATTTCTTTCTAAAAAAAAAAAGCCTGATTTTGCTCAAAGAGATGCCGAGCAGACCATAGAGCATCAGTAAAGCATGCCTCTAGGTTCTGAAAGCTGCCTCAGAAGAATGACCACTGTCGCGAATTTTGAAACCTTTTTCTGCTTATAGGGTCTAACAGGTGAGAGATGGTGGAGTCCCATCTAAGGAAAATGAGCTAAATGAAGACAGGAGAGAGTTAAAAACAGAACAGCAAAAGATCTGGATACATTGACACAAGTGACCACGCCTGCACCTCCTGTTTGGTTGTAGAGGACAAATAGAGGGTCTTCCAGGGGGCGTGTTAACCACCAGCAGGGGCAGCCGGAAGCCAGAACTGCCAGAAGTGAGCCTGTGAATGCACCCAAGTGGACGAACAACTTCAGGGCTTAGACCTGGTGTTCACCGGAGAAAGCAAGGGGCGGGACTGGACTAAGGGGAGGGGAGTGAGCAGGGAGCAACAGTGAAAGGCACAGAAGGCAGTCCCTGGAGACCTGGGAAGGAGGCGGGAATTAGGCTGAAGGGTCAAATCCAGCCAGCAGTCTTCAAGATCTGAGCAGACCACAGGAGGCGCCACCAGGACATCTCTGCAGCGCTTGGTGGTCAGGGAGGAGCAAGCATCAGTCTCCCGCTGCGGGTCTCAGCCACCGCTGCATCAGCCTGCACGTCTCTGTCCTCGCGCAGGGCGTTCAGGCTTCTTAGCCTTCGCCTGCGCTGTCAGCTTTTCCCTGCCCGCGATCAACCATGGATGTCAACTCCCTGCTTTCTGTGCAAAGGTAAGACTCGTTTCTCCACATGAGATGTCTCTCAAACTCCGCTGGGCACTAGAGATCTCAGGCAAAGTTGCTTTCCACCCTTTGCTCTCCTTAGAGATTCTCACGGAGAAGTCAAGTCCCTGCACTACTGAGCCTTGAGATCCGCCCTCCGGGGGACTCGATCTCTGTTAGCTACCCCACTGGGTGCCCTGCTGGGTGGGGCCTGTGTACTGGAGCTGTACCCGGTGGAGGACAGCCAGGTGCCTGTCTCTAAGGCTGGAGGGTTGAGATCTCCTCTGCCCAGCGAGGTACCTGGGAAACCAGACTTTTAGTGTGTGTTACCTGAAGCAGTTTTGCGCCTTGGCTTGGAATGCTTTCTAAGGTGGAGATTAGAGACCTGAGGGCTCAAGACGAAAGTCGATTTATTTCCAGTTCTGTTGACCTTAACCTGGGTTAGTGTTTGGGGCTTTGGGGTGAGCTACAATGTTTTGTAGGCTTGGGGAGGGGGAGTTCTCTTAGATCTGTCACTGACACCTAACCTGAGCCCACCTGTAATCCTGGGCAGAGGAGACCTCCTTGGTCCTTTAGCATCTCTGAAGCGCTAGTTCCACCTAGTGTCTGAGTCCCCTCCCCAGACAGGTAAGCACAGCCACCTGAGAGATGTGGTTACAGTGTTTTGTTGTTTGCTCTTCTGTTTCCTTTCTTTTTGCTCCTGTTCTGCTCGCCCTCCGGACCCAGCTGGAGAATAAAATACTCTGTGATTTTTGTTCTTCTCCCTAAAAACCTTGGGGTGGAGCTGAGGCTATCTCTCAGGTGCCGCCCAGCTGAGCAGGTAGCATTGAGCCCTTTGTGCTCTCTGCCCAGCGCGGAGCTAAGAGCACTCCACAGTTCACACCTAGAGCTCCTGGCATTGTTGAATGCTGCAGCCTTGGGCTGCTCAACAGCCCACCTTTCCTAGCCCAGGGCTCAGGGCTAATCTTGTAAGCTCTTACTTCCTATCTTCCCACCCCACTTCACCCCACCCCAACCAAGCTGACACTGTCAGGCACTGAAATAGACTAGTTAAGCTAGAATTCTTGGGTTGCATTGGAACACAGGAAGACCCAGTTCTCTCACAGGCTAAGGCTCACACACAGTAGCCAAGACAGAGGGAGAGCTGGGATAGGGCTGAGGGTACAGGAGGTTACATATTGCCTTTCAAAGATGTCAGAGCCTGCCATCTATAGACGCAAGTGTTTATGCTGTGTGATAGAACTAGCCTTCCCAGCCTCCCATCCATCACCCTCCTCTGTGAATCTAGCAAAGGGATTTGAGGTTTCTACACAATGCCTGGATCAGCTCTTAAGTGAGTCTCTAACTCTCTGGCTCAAACGGGAACAAATGAACACTGAGTCTCTCTCTATTTCAGCCTCATGTCTGGAAAAGCAAGTAAGTGCCATGGGAGAGAAGATTTTAAAAGCTTAAAAAATAACCATTGTTGTCGATTTAGGTATAACAATTTGTTGTCGATTTAGTATAACAACATTTCAAAAGTCGAGTACATTAGAGGTTTGCTATTTACTGCCTGGAGAACTGGTCCTTAGAATTGAGGGCTAGGGATACAGGTCATTTATAAAGCATGCACAAGTCCATAAACCCAGCCCTCAGTTTCTACCCCTATTCCGACAAACTGAAATAGTGAACTAAATAGTCCCTCAAATCCAAAAAAATAAGGGGGTGGGGGGTGCTTGCTTTAAATCCACCTTTTCAGATTGTTATGAGTGTGGTTCAGTCATGACTCAATTCCCTTCTAATCCTGAAACATTTTCTAAAGTATTAGAAATAAACCATTACGAAAACGTATTAAGGTCTTTTATGGGGTGGTGCCAAAAGTGGCTTTATAAAGAGCAATCAAACTAATCGAGGGCCCACATATGAATCTCGATAGCATATCTCCAGAAATAAATCTTCTAGATATTACCACTTACTTACCAAGAAACATCACCTCTCCCCTAAGTCAGAATAATAGTTTCATCTGTTGAAACACCTTTGTTCAATTCTTTACTTTAGTTCAAGAAAGAATCACAGCTTCTCTCCCATTAGATTTCATGGGAGGCCATTGGAATCAACTTACCATATATATGCAGAAACAGAATTAGAACTTGAACTGATTCCTGTATGCCTTGTATTAATCACTAGACTTATTGAGGAAAGCTTGAGGTTTAAAGAATTGGATATTCTACACAACTGTTTTTGAGAAAGTGGCAAAATGACTAAGTAATAACAAATCATTATTGAGAAAGTATGTATTATACACATCAGAAACATTCTCAGTATTTAATAAAGTTAAGTCAGTGATTAAAATAACAGATCTCTTTTAAGCAAGATAAAATAATTTAGACTTCTATTCAGTAATGCACAGAGAAAACAACAAGACTTCAGAAAATAGTTTAATTATAGGATATTTGTTCTGTTAGAATTCTTTACTTTTGGGGGGATTTCAGTTAAAACAATATAAATGGAACAGTAATCAGCAATACTCTGGTACGTGATCTCAAAACGGAATATGAATAATAATTTGGCAACTTTAAAACATGAGTTTTAACAATGAAAATGTTGACAATTCTATAAAATATTATAATCTATTAACCTTGTACTTGCAAAAGTTTCACCTTATTTTGACTGTGATGATTTTAATTTTCAAATATGTAATAAGCTGTATAAAGCAGACTAAGGACTTTTTAAAACACCACTGCAAAGAGAAGCCAGTGTCTCCAGGAAGGAAATCAAGCACTCGAGAAATCAATATCCTTGCAGCAGATGTATTATAAACCCAGAATTTCATGTTCTCTTCTGGCTAGTAGTCTGGTAGAAATAAAGTGTGTAAAAAGAAAATGAAGGTTTTTGCTTTTGTTCGGCTACTTTTACAACTAAAAGTTCTGGGAGTGTTTCTGCACTCATTTGTTTTATGATGTTTATTTCACTAAGTCACATAAGTAGGTGTTTAGAAAAAGAAAAAAAAAAGAATCAAGGTTCTCTCCTAAATGATTCTTGTAGCTGTTATTCCTGTATCACAGTTACCCTTTACGGACATAAGTCAGTATCGTCTACCTGGGCAACTGTGTGCAGAATCATGTTTAGAATTTATTAAGCGTCATCTCATATATTAGATTATTTAACCATCACATCCTTGAGAGTTAATTATAACAGATATTAGTTTTACTTCCTAGCAAAAACCTTGAAGCAAGAGGAAATTAAACAGAGTAAATATCAGATTTAGAAGTCCACATACATAACACCTAGGACACCTCAAAGTTCTTCTGGCTACAAGACTAGCTTTTTCCCTTGTCTTGACTATGAAGTCACAGTTGTTTTTAATAGGAGAGCAGAAATGCTGGCCTGGCCTTAATGGTAACATCATTCTCAGACACATAGGGGCAGCTTGAATGCAAGGTGATCTTTAAAGTATAAGCCTTGCAAATGCCTTTTTTTTTAAGTTACAAACAAAACATTTTAATAGTGTTTATTTAGAGTATAGGGAGGTGAGTTGAGGGGGTAGTAGAGACAGTGAAAGGCGGGGGTGGGGGAGTGGGGGGAGAGGAGTAGAGGCCAGCTATGAACACAGAGGGAGGAGGGGAATGGGGAGAGAGGGGGAAGAGGGGAAGAGAGCAGGAGAGCAAGAGCAAGAGAAGACCAACAAAGCATTTTTTATCTACGCCATATTTGAGCTAGAATTTGAAGTTGAAGAGTTATTCTCTTTCCCAATGTTCATTTATGTTTTGATACCATATAGAGTTGCTCTTTTTGTCTAGTTGGATATCCTGGATTCTATTTTAATCCAATACTTTTTATATGGGCCTATGACGAAGAAACCAACAGTTCATTTTGAAATATATGTGTTTATATATGTGTATGATTACATGGGTGTGTTTGTGTGTATTCATGTATGTTTGTATGTTTGTGGGGGGTATTCATATATGTTTGTGTGGGATGTTATTGGTTTCATTGTCCTGTCATTTTTATTTTACTCAGCCTGAAGTTTAATTTAGCAACACATCACTTATATTGTTAGGACGTAGGATAAAAACTATTTTTTAGCATGCCAAAACAAGTCCAAACTGTATACTAACTGAACGCCACCCAACAATATATTTTTAGTGGATGTTTATAGGTTTTCAAATTCATAGAGTGACAGAGATGTAGGTTCATAGCTTCATTTCTAGGTCCTCTTTACAAATGTGCCTGAGGAACCACTGGTCAATGAGTGTGAATGTGTGTGTGTGTATGTGTGTGTGTGTGTGTGTGTGTGTATGTGTTGGGGCCGGGGAGGGGCACATTACGAATAAAAGCAAATGAAATACTTTTTCATTGAATGTAACATTCTCTTCCCAAATGCAGCACTGAGATGCATTGGTATTCCCAGTTCATAAATTCAGAACTTCTTATAGAAAGAGAATCTAGGAGTTCAGAACCTATTCAAACATACAAGATTGGAAGTGGTAACAGTGCTTCTGACTAATGGGCAGAAACAGGAATTCTCAAAGCAATTTCTAATCAAAACACCTTTGCAAACACACATGAAGTTTACCATTAACGTTTCACTGTACTGGCAACTCTTATGGGCACATGGCCTCCATCTCTGTGGTTCCTGTAAGTCAACTCTTAGAGAGCTTCTTGTCCATAAGGGACATATAACTCCCTTGACAGGAAAAAAAATCAAGTCATATGAGAGAACTAAAATAGTTCTGTAAGAGAGCTGAGCTTGGAAGAAAGGTTGTTTCTCTTTACAATCCTCCATAGGTGAAGAGAAACAAGTTTACAGTAAGTGCTTCAAAGGATTACTCTTCCTGGGAGAAGGTACCCAGCACCTAAGAGCACTGGTCACCTAGCAGTTATCTTGGAAAAAAAATAAAAGATTTTTAGGAGCTCTGTGACGATTTTCATCCCCTGACTAAAGGAATAATAACAGCACCTGAGAGTACTGTGAGGTGAATTGTGTATTTTAACATAGCCTTGTGTATGGGCCATGGCTCTCTGTTTAG